AGTTTGGAAGGCTCTATAGATGGCAAGTTTGACCGCGCGGCGGGTTTTCTGAATCAATATGATATCGGGGGGAGTTTGGAGGGACTGGAGGCAGTGTTAAAGATAGCCACGCTTCAGTCGGAAGCTGTGGTAATTCCATTGCCAGATAGTGGTTTGGTGCCTACTGAGGCGTGGCGGGCGTGGGAGAGGTAAAGCCATATTGAGGGATGCACTGTTAGAGGTAGGGTATGGATGGTGGGGGTGGTGGAGGAGTTTAGGACCCCAACTGGGATGAGATGTTGGTGAGTTGGTTTATTTGACTGGTGAGTTGGGCCAATCTGGAGGAGTACTTTGAGACAGCGTTTTCTATCGCCGTACAACGGCTGTAACGTTTCGCTCTAAGGTTTGCAGTCTGGCACTGAAAATGCGAGACATTTCGGTCATTGACGCTGAGTCGGTGTAATTTGTCTACGATTTTGAGGCCATAGTATTGATTACTCTATGCTTGACAGACTGGGCGGTGCTGTCAGGTGAGGATATGGCAACTGCAACGGGTAGTGGGGGAGGAGTACGAGTGGGCGCTGGAGGGGTAGGAGTTGGCGCTGGAGGGGTAACCTTTCTGTTTAAGGAGGGGTCGTAAGTCTGCATTTTCCTTCTAAACGGCAGTGATTTATTGTGTGAGGGTTTGGACCTTTTGCCGTAGAGTTTGGACCTTTTGCCGTAGGGTTTGGACCTTTTGCCGTAGAGAGGGGCGGTGATGAGAGACATCCGACGGGCAAGGAGAATAGCCGGGTCGTAATTGCAGTCGATTAGGTATTGGCTGATGTTCTCCGGTGGACCGTAATCTGGCACATTAAAGATGATTCCGCGTGAGATCTTCGCAGGATTTGCCATATATGTGGCCAGAAAATAGTTCTCTTCGCCCTTCAGAGGGGGTGCTGAGTAGTATAGTTTTGAATGGCATTGATTCGAATTTTATCATCGCGTGCCACGTTGTAATTGGTCTGGGCAGTGTTAAAGACGAAGTCTTGCAGCTTGCCTGTGCTCATCGAGCTTAGGTTGAGGCCACCACGTGCACGGATGATGATCTTGTAGTAGTCAGGGAGTCTTGCGAGCTGCGGCGGGCGCGTCTTGAAGCCAGGCCTTGGCGAGCTGCGGAAAACCGGACGCCAAACGCGCCTCGCCGCTCGACTTGGTCGTTTACGTCGCCATCCGTTGTTTACCCTTGCAAGTTTTTTAGCCCTATGTTTTGCAGAAAGGGAGCTACGCTTTGTAATTTTACAAAAACCAACCTGTGAAATATACCTTTGACACAAAGTTCAGATTGCTATGTGCAGGCGCCAATTTTTATGGCCCATTTTAGATCGAGCCTGGTTATTTCTGTCACCCTATACTTACTGCCAGGTTGGATCACATTGGCATCTTATTAGCCTTCCTTTTCTTCACTTGGCTTTTACTAGTATGCTTTCACAAAAGTAGGAGTGAGGTCCTCGGTCGACTTCGGCGCGAACCTTAGGATGAGAGAAAATGGCAAAATGGCCCGTTTCCCGCCTTTCATGTACTTTATGTACCCGTAGATCATTGTGAACACTACGAATTAGTTTTTAACCTCTAGGTGGTAGTGGAACGACTGGTTGGCAAGAAGCTATCGAAGGAACAAGCGAAAGTGAGAAACCAGAGCAGCCAAGGCGAGCAATGCTGGCGACACGCACGGAGTGACAGCGGATTGGATCTCGGATTGGATTGAAAGTGTCAAAGACAGTTGGTTGTAAATTAAAACGGAGCAGTAACTTGTTACCAGTATAGGGTTGTTGCACAATACCATGGTTCAATGCTGCTACCTCTTCGTGGATCTGATCAAAACCCACTGGAATCCATGTTGGAGGCATTCATTGCTGTTATCCTATGTTTTGTGTCCTTTGGGGCCTTGTCTGCATGGTACTTTGTGCACCCACTCGAGGTTGAAGACAGTCAGTTGCTCTGTGATTGTTTTAGCCGTAAAACTTGGTGTCAACGGAGCCACGGCCAGCAATATTGTTTTTTCTAGAATTCCGGAAATCATTAGGAACCAGGACAAGGCGACGCTCGAGCAATCGGTTTGCCGACATTATGAATGGCTCCCAACGGACACGCCGGCACAACCTCAACCAGGCGGGTAAAGACAGGAGTAGAACACGGCAAGTCCTAGGCGCTAACATCTCCAGTCCCGAGAGAAAGAGCGAAAAAAGGCAGAGAAATAAAGCAAACAAAAAGTTAGGCGTGTTCGTTTTGCCGCGACAAGTTGAAGTTGCTCGAGCACTTGTCAGGTTTATTTAAATTTATCACTGCGCGACTCCTGTGTTCTTCTGCAAAGACAGAAAATAACAAGGTAAAGACTTTACTGGTGATGTTTGGCTGCATCTTGGTGCATATAAAGGCCTCGGCAGCGATAGGGCTCATCGAAATCGCGAACTGGGACCGCCGATCTCCGCTTCTATGTTCCGCCATTTCGAAGCGGCCAAACGCAGGGGACCTTTCGTTTCGGATTATTATGTTAACTCTACACTCTTAAAAAAATAATTAAAAAAGGAATGGACGGGTGTTGACTGTACTCTTTTTGGAGAGAATCCGGGTTATCGCAAGCTATACTCTCTCTAGGGACCAGGAATATGAAAAATACATGCAAATATGAATCAAAATACAAATACAAAAATACTTCGTCAAAAATGTATTTAATTACGAGTCTAATTACATTTAAAAAAATTGCGGTGGCTTAGCTCGGCTATGCCAGGATATACGCAGCGTGAGCTTAGGCGCATAAAATGAGAGGTGCTATCAAGCAGCTCCGGTGCAGCGTCAGACTTGGCTACTGCGCAACGGAGGCACATAGCTGGGCACGCGGCGCCGCCAGTGCGTCTGCCGTGGCTGTGACGTCACTCCTCTGGAATGCGAAGACTGGCGAGGCGAGCGCGGTGGCGGCGGATCCCGCGGCGACTTGGCCTCCGCCCCGCCAGCTGTGCGCCGTGCGACGTCACTGCTCCTCGCACTTGCGCAGCACGGAGCATGGCTCATTATGCCAGCCACGCGAAACTGCTCAATTTCGGCCAGTGTAGCTCACGCTACAAAAAGCATTTAAATGCAAGATACAAATACAACCAAATGTATTTGTTCTCTTCCAAATACTTTTCTAAATACATTCCTCAAAATTTGCGAGAGCGACTTCAGGGCACCTGCAACGGGTTTCTACGTATCTCTACGCACACTCTGGAGTAAGTTTGCGAGGCTCTAGTAACGTAATAGAAATATAATCACAAAAAAATGTAATCAGCTTGGACGTAATAGGTGAAAAAGTACAGAGCCTCAAGCAGCTTTTTTTGTCGATTACATGTTGGTATATACCAACAAAGAACCGAGACGACCAAGACACGGAGCACTAGCTAAAGAATTTTTTATTGTTGCAACTCGCACCAGTTAACGAAAATCTGGACGACACGCGCATTTAGAATGTTCCAGGCAAAATTATGGATGGAAATCAGGCTGGAAAGCATCACAAGTTGTCACAGGCGCTTATTTAGCCAGTCTGCCTGTGAACGTCGATTTCATCACTATTCTTGCCCTGGACTAGCACCGTAATCACAAAGTCACTAAACGCTTGTGCTTGATTAAGAGACACTGCATTCGGTGCAGAACGTAGTTTTCTTTCTGCTCTGGACAGTGCCAATAAATTAGAGGGATGTATTTTCGCCCACAAAATTGTATTTAATTACAATTGTATTTGAAATACCCACCTTTTAGTATTTAAATACACACGTCAAATGCATTACCCAATTTGTAATTAAATAGAAATTCAAAATACACAAAGTATTTGAAATACATATTTCAATTACTTGTATTTGAAATACCGCCTATCCCTGCTAGGGATAGGTAATCGTTACCTTTCCACGACTAGTGTATGTTTTACTCTCCCATACGAGTGCTCACTTAACTTTTCTATAGTCACACAAATGGTTTTGCAAGAGTCAGGACTGTCTACAGGTTTTGAATTTCAGAGTTTGGTGCATTATTTTAACTGCCCTTTTTTGCTCCTAAATACAATTGTTTAAGCGACAACCAGTCTGTCGTATGTAAGAAAAAGTGTTGCCTGAACTCTGTACTAAAGAGTTAAGCACGCTCTCCAGGAAGAGTTATTGTAACCTTAGAAGTGGTGCCTGCACTCCGTATTAAAAAGTTTAGTGTGCTCTATAGCAAGAATTAATATTACATAACAGCAAACTTAGCAGTTTATATGATCCCTTCCTGGAGACTGCTTTACTCTTTCATACAGAGTTAGGCAACACTTGAAGTGGGGATTTAATTACTCGCACTAAAGAATTTTGTAGAGTAAGTACAACCCCATTTGGAAGTGTTGCCTAAACCCAGTATTAAACAGTTAAGCACACTTTCCAGGAAGGGTTCACACGAACTCTGCTCAAGTATAGTGCTATGTGCTGAGTGTAAAATCACCCAGTAAAAAGTAACGTAAATGCCTGCTAACAGAATTAGGGGAAGGGAAGTGTACAATTGGCTCCTTGTTAGTCAAACGTTTGCTGAAACAAAAAAAACTCTACTGGCAAGTGGCATTTTTAGCCTGTTGAAGTGCGACCACTGTACTTTTATTTTTGCAGCTGTTGTATCAAATTTCAATACCTCCCTTGATTTCTCTGTAATGTGGAATAGTACTTCTGTCCTTATTATGGGAGCTGCTACATACAACTTGAGACAACTCAAGCACTTTGCAATGAACAGTAGCCCTAAAATCTAAAAGCAGCTATGTATATGTTCACAAGGGGAGGGTTGCATTGGAAATGTGGAAGTGCAGCTGAAAAAGGACATAAAAGAGGGAGCATGAGCCTGTTCGGAGGCCATAGGTTTTCATGAAAAGTCAGCATAGAAAGGATAAAAAAAGTAGAATAGAGCTCAATAAGCCAACACTTTAATGTTAGGACATGGGGAAAAAAGGCAAAAATGGCACACATATTCCCTCTGGTGAACAAGTTTCTTACTTTGTGATGAGATCCAAAGCCAAGGCAGACTTTATATCGTACTTCAAATCAATGAAGTGCCCAATCCGTCCGTCACCTCAAATAAGTGGTTCTCCAACACCGCAGTTATGGCCTTTGAGTCCTCTTTGTCAATTCGCATCAGCGGATAGGTCAATCTGTCGTGTCGGTCCTCCTGTGAAGAATGAATGCTTAAATGTAGACTCAGCAGTATGAGAAGGGAGGAAGCAACTCACTAAGTGTAGAAGGGTATGCACTTGGGCTAGTTGGTGATCCATATTTCCGAGGGAAAAAGCGCTAAAAACAATGAACAAGTAGAAGTGTTGTTGGTTTCTGTTACTTTTCCATTGTTTTTAGTCTTTTACCCTCGGATATATAGCTCGCTAAGTGCCCTTAGTTAATAGGAGTGCATTCATTTGTAAGACAAGAGACCATTTGCGAAAATCCCAGGAGCCATTCACAGGATACGTTCCAATACTGGTCTGGTACTTGTTTTCTTGCCGATTAAACAAGAGTCCGAATCGAACACTTAGGCAGCACTCACTGCTGGCTCACTCAGCCGCAACTACCCACGACTGTTTGTATCCCCTCTGATATGAACATCTAAGAGAAAAATGAACCACATCTCTCTTTTTTTCCTTTGTATGCAGTGGCAGCCATAAGGGGTTGCATTTATTTATGGCAGGGAATCCCCAAGTTTGCATACCCTATTAGTGGCATCGGAAGAAGAGGGCAAGGCAAGGGGGGCAATTGCCTCGCCCTCCCGCTTCTCTCTGAGTGACATTTTAAACTATTATAGCAGACAATACGGGAGACAGGGACGGGGTTTAGCTCCCTAGCACATCACCCCTCCACCTTCCAAGCAATACAAACTCAGCTGGCTGCTGCCCATAGCGATGAAAGTCATAGCTCTATATAGACTAGCCTTAGGGGTAGGATGAATGGAAGTTCTTAACTTGAAACTTGAGATCATGTCCGGTTTTCAGTTTTGAAGGCGTGAGGTCGCATCCATGGATAAGGACATAGGGGGGCTCCGAATGCGGCCGAAGCGCCACCGGCTTTCACACCCGAACTCCGACCAGGCAGCGTTAGCTTTATATGAACGGCGGGTGCTACGGCCGGGGACGCCCCGGGCACGTGACGGTTAGTCTCCCCTCTGGCTAGGTCAACGAAGGCCACCTGGCTAAACCTGCTCTCCGCGAACCCCCTCTCAGCAAGGCCCCCCGGACAGCCCGACGCGCACCACGTATGGCTACCTTGGGCCCGACTCCCTTCGTTCACCTAGACACCGGCGCGGCCGCGCCATCGCCCCCAACCCCATCCCGGTGTCCGGCCGACTATCCGCCGACCCTCTTGGTCCACACCGACATACGAAGAAACCAAGCACCCCGCTGGGCCAGGAGTGACAGGCACGAAGAGATCGGGGGGTATGATATTGCCCCCGATCCGCTTAAGGCAGGCCATGGCAGCTAGGGCCACCTCCTCAGCCGTCCGGGAATAGCCCATCGGAAACGCCTTTGAAAACTTCTCCTTCTGCTCTTCGGGAGAGCCAGCCAGGCGGCCTCACCGTCTTCGCCTCCTCGGAATTTGAGGCTCTCCGCCGGAGAGAGCGAGTTATGATCTTTGGCGACAAGATCCCTGACATTGAACGACAAGGGCAGGATCGGGCAGCCCCCCTCCCGATGTTTCCCCGCCGTCTGCACCAGCCGGAGCAACGGGTCCCAAACGAATGGGGCCCGCGGCGGCGGCTTAGGGCTCCTCTCGACCGCGAGACTCCGACAGTCTCGCTATGACGTCGAGTCTGCTGTACCCACTTGGCCGGGAAGTCTGGTATGTCAACGGTGGGACCGTTGATACATTTAAACAAGTCGAAGGTCCCGACCACCTCAAGTTGATCTCCCTTCCACGTCACTGCCAGACCCCGCTGCGTGGCCACTGCCGACAAGGTCGCGCGAAGACCTTCCTTGGCCTCCCCAATGTCTGGCAGCGTCACGGACCCGCGTTTGCCAGCAAAGAAGTCGTCAACCGAGATATCGGCCAGGACTGGGTCTGGTAGATCCGGAAAGACACGACGCACTCTGTGAGTGCCAAAGGCACGAGTTATAGTGGTGGACAAGGCCATAGGGTTAATGAGGCTCGGGTCGGCAACCCAAGCCGCTCTGGCCTCCAGCAGGTCCCTGATGAGCGGGTCCTGCTCTGCCTCAAGTGCCTCGACACGCTTAGCAAACAGATCATCTTCCCATGATCCTTGCAGGTCTATGATGCCAGTCAGATTGTTGGTGCAAAGGGGAGTCAGTGGAAAGCGCCGAGTGCTAATACGCGTGGACTCTACCAGACGGTGCCGGACAGCCCACATGACAGTAGCAAACGGGTCATCGTCAAGCCTGGCCGCATCTCGGCCCTCCACTGTTCTAAGTTCGACGGCATTCCCCTTCCCACGGAGAATGAGGCCATACTGCCTTTTGAGAAGAGATTTGAAAGAGAACATGGGAGTTCTTAAAAACTTATTCAATGTCCTCTCTCTGAGACTCAACCACGAACGGATAAGAACAAAGCAGCCTCACGAGCAACAACTGTTCTAAACCGTAATTCGCGTAGATGTACGACGCTACCTCAAGTGCGTCCAGGATTTCTCTGGAACGTCCTTCTCCGACCCTTCTCCCACAGATCAGATGTCTTGGATATCGGAGGCCCCCAATTTTTAGATCGGGGCCTCCGACATCGGAGACATTCGGGGGATATCGGGGGGCATTCGTCCAATTGGTATACAATATGTTAGGAACGTTCTTAATATTTAATTAGTTTGAGCAACCTATTGTATTTCAATGCTGACTACCGTATATCATAGTTTATTTCACAACTTTAGAAGTTAGCAAATGCAGGTAACCTCTAAGTTTGGGGACACCATTGATTAAATATTGTAATTACAGCTCTACATGAAGCTAATTTACTATAAAGTACCATTAAACCTTAATAATATAAAAAAAAACTGTACCTACTGAAATTCACAAACTCAAAAAAAAAAGAAGCAAAATAAATATAACAGTAGCCCAACCAAGAACATACAGCTTCGATTGGTCAGTGTTAAAAAAATTGAAAGAAGTGCCACATTCCAAAACAAAGCACGCATCGTGGCGAGCCCAAGCTGTGCCATAACTGAAACTACTAGATAGCTAGTGAGCTGCTCACATGCACCACTCCATCATGCATGTGCACAATAGATGTGGGCTCTGAATTTCTGATTTGCATGTGGCATGGACTGGTTGCACCACTCTGAAGGCAGGTGTGGGCACGCGCATTATGTGCCAGAGCGCATCCTTCAGTATGTCCAGTAATGCTGAGGTGAAGTTTGCCCAATAAGTTGAGTTTCTACATGGCTTCATCTGTTGAAAACTGCTCTGCCAGCATTTTGTGATGCTTTGTGTGTGTTCATCAAATTGAAGATTATATATTTATGTCAGAACCGCTGGAGCCTCCTGCTAAACAGGCGTGTTAGTTTTATGAAGGCAACAAGGGCGGCAGTGGCTCCCCGCCCCTGTCTACTCCCCCATCGGAAAGCAAAGAAAGTTCTGTTGAGAGCTGGGGTCTTAAGAGATCGGCAGAAGTTCCATACCATAATTCCTCGACAAGACAAGTTGCGAAGTCCTTCAAGATCATGAGGGTTTTGATTAGCTCCATGGCAGGAGCTGCAAGAACAGCAGTTTCCCTTGTTTAGTGAGCAAACATTATCTCCAGCAGTCACACTGTAATCAATAAATTGTTCATATGCAGTAAGGTTCAAGGTTCAAGGTGTTTAATGGCACAACTTCCACACAGCCGAGTGCCTGAGGCAGCCAAAAGGCAGAAGCCCATACAACCAAGTGCTGGCTGCTTCCTCTCTTTCTCCCCAACTGGAACAAGTTTCTGCACTCTTGGCATTCCTAACTAAGGAGACAATCAGGTCTTTATATGACTTTGATATGGAAACTTGTCATCAGTGTAAGATGGCGTGCAAAACGATGACACTTGAAGAGGAGCAGCCAGACGCTGAATCCTTGTATCCCTCACCATGGTCGCTGAGCAGGTGGCACCATGGTTACAACTGATCCTCGGCCACAGCAGTAACGGTATGACCTAGGACGGTACCCTGGACTAAATGGTGTTCTGCTGCGGTTCGGATCCAGCTGTGCGGGAAATTGGCACCTTAGAGATTTCTTTTTCTAGGACAGGGTTTATGCATGTTGAAGCATGGCATCAGAAGTTGAGTTGTATCAAGAGCGTTGAGAGTAAGTGCTCGGAGAGCTTGTCCAGTTAACTTCTTGTCCCAGCATCTCAGCATGACTGTAATCTGCTTCAACATTAAAAATAAGTCTGTAGGTAAGTAGCTAAACATTCGGATGCTTACTAATCTGCTGCACCTCTTCTTTTTGTGGAGTGCATGACGACACTCAGCTTAAAAAGAGCTACTAGAATATGAAGATGCCATCAGTACAACGAGAATATGGTGAATGTAGGCATAACGGAATGGAAGTCCTTGTTACACCTGGTCCACAGATCACGGAAAGTTCGTCGGAGTGCTTTTCACTCTGAATGGCATGCACACAAACTCGCAAACCGAAAGGCATTGTTAGGCTCCTTTTGAATTACCAATGGCTTGTCTGGTATTGGTGCTACGACTTACCAGATCGACCTTGGAAAATATGGCAAGCTATTGTTGAGCAGTGTAATGAAGGTGCTGATGCAAAAGAACTGTGTTTTTCTGTTTTGTAGCAGCTGTATATGGCAGAACTACATCGTACAGCGCATGAATTATGTGCAAAACTAGCTTTTTTAAGTTGATGAGTATAATCAGTGCGTAGAACGCACACATTCATACATGGATATGTTAGCAAAAATAAAAACTAATGTCTCGTTGCAAGGACTCACACAAAAAGCGGAATTTGTTGAGAACCACATGTAAACTGGTAAAATCACTGCAGTACACTAACAACAACAAAAAAGATATTTTTATGTTGGCACACCACGCTTCCTCCGCATTAAATTGTGCATACGACCGCTGCTGGAAATTCTGAGGAAAGCAGTCTGAGTAGCCACAGTCGGCAGCGACCCCAGACATGCTCAACGGGGTGCGAACCGGACCTGGATTGGCCTCGACATCATTGTCGTCGCACCCGTTTCGCACCCAGGCGGAGCCTGGGGCGCTCAGCACGTACTGGGCCGTGGCGGGCAGCTGGGCGAAGAGGCCAATAACAGCTGTACGTGTTG